GAAATAAGAATGAACAGAAAATATTTTTAATGGTGATAGAGAGATGCTTAACAACTAAGTACCATGCAGCTGCTCACTCATACCTGTCTCAGTGGGATGGGGAGGAGAACTGGAAAAAAAAGGTGAAAGACATGGGTTAAGATAATAATTTATTAATTGAAATAGTTTAATAATTGAAATAATTATTATAATTATTATTAGTAATAAAAATTATATCAAATAAAAGGGACAGAGCAAAACCAGAGGGGAATAAAACCCAGGAAAAACAAGTGATGCCCAATACAGTTGTTCACCATCTGACTGAGACCCAGCCTGGCTTGAGCAGTATTGGCCCCTCCTGGCCAACTCCCCCCAGTTTAAATACTGGGTTTGACATTTTATGGTATGGAATACACACTTTGACCAGTTTAGGTCAGCTGTCCCAGCTCCCTCCCAGCTGCTTGTGCACCTCCTCACTGGCAGAGCATAGGACACTGAAAAGTCCTTGACTTAGGGTCAGCACTACTCAGCAACAGCCAAAACATCAATATCAGTGTGTTATCATTATTCTCATACCAAATCCAAAACACAGCAGTGTACCAGCCACTAGGAACAAAATTAACTCTATCCCAGCCAAAATAAGAACTATTCATAAGGCATGTTTCTGTCTTGTGAATTTAGCCCACTGTAAAGGGAACTTTGCTGTTTTGCTGGTGTCTAAACATACACATAGCTTTTGAGAAGACAATGAAATGTGTTTTGCTGGCAGAGTCATTCACAGCATCATCAATTCTGTGAGTGTTCCCTGTATCCTGCAAATACTGAGTCAGGAAAATGTCACTTCAACTGTGTTTGCATCCTTTTACGCCCATTTAAAAAAGATTAAAATAAAGGTAGCAAGCTTTCTAAAATGGAAAGTTTGAAAAAAAAAAGAAACTTAAGCTAACATGTTTGCTGAAACATATTTATTATTTCTATTCATTCCTATACCTTAATTTTTGAGGCTTGATTATACAGATCTATCTATCACAAAAGACATTATCCTGTGAGTTGTGTAAATAACCAAAAATATAGAAATTTTGAATGTTGATATTCACAAAAGAATTCTGATTAATTACTCCTGGACTATTTTTCAAGTAATTAGGAAAAAAAAAAAATTAACGTTTCTCAATTCTCTTATGAATATTCTGAAAAAGAAAAAAAAATCGCTCCCAACTTTTATTTTTTCACAGAATCACCAAATCAATTAGGTCAGGAAAGACCTCTGAGATCACGGAGTCCTACCTATGACCTAACAGCACCATGACAGCAAAACCATGGCAGTGAGTGCCATGTCCAGTCTTTCCTTAAACACCACTGGAGACAGTGACTTTACAACCTCCATGGGCAGCCCATTCCAACATCTAATCAACCTTTTTGGGGAGAATTTCTTCCCAAACCTAATTTCTTCAGTCTAAACCTCCCCTGGTGCAGCTTGAGGCTGTGTCTTGTCCTGTCACTCGGTGCCTGGGGGATGAGGCTGGGCCCTCCTTTCTGCACTTGCAGAGTGTGATAAAGTCTCCCTTGAGGCTCCTCTTCTCCAGGCTGAGGACCCTCAGCTCGCTCAGCCACTCCTCACAGGACACGTGCTTTGTTCCACTTCAAGCACAGATCAAAAGATTACTTTCCAGTTGACATCTCTGACTGAACGCAACAACTGCTGCTGAGATTTACCCAGGTGTGGCAGATGAAAATCAGCTGTGATAGGATCAGTCAAATGAAACAGGCACTGCACTGCTACCTAGAGAGTAGACAGAAGGGTACACACTGTTTCTTTAGACAGAGGCCTAACAAAAACGTGTGTCAAATAATAACAACAAAAACTTCAAAATAATTTGTACATTAAATATTTAAACATTTGCTACAGAAAGAAGCAGGGATATTCAATGTGTGTTGGAAAAAGATCTTTAATTTTGCTGAACCCATTAATTTGTGCAACTAATTGATGTTCTATGGGTAGTATTAATTATCGCTTAGAATACAGCTCTATGTTATAAATTAAATGCAATTATAAGAGGTTTGCTTTTCCTTCATTTAGAAAAGCCTTCCTGTCTGTGCAACTTTCCTTTCTGCAATATTGAATACTTTTGCTTAAGCACAATGTATGGTGGATCTTCTTTGATTTAGTTATTTAAAATAAAAACCCAAACTAATAACTGTAGGGTCATATGCAAAGACCTCCCCAAAAGTATGGGACCTTACATGTGTGTAAATGCAGGTTTGTTTGAACTGGACAGAGATCTCTTGACACATCTCTAAATTCTAAATGCACTAAAGCAGATTTGCACTTCCCTCTGTGATCTCTCTGCACCTACCCTGACATGGCACTACCCACACTGCAGGCCTGTTTAAAACCTGAAATATTGCAAATTCTGTCCTAGCTTTAAAGTTATTCTTTTTTACAGAACATTTGAAATTACATTTTTTCTTATGTGAACATGAAAATAACAAATCTTATTGTATTAACATTTAGACCTGTGAGGAACATTCAGAATTTGACTATGCCTCACTTATCCAAGTTTTATATTCTGTGGTATATGCAGTCAGTGTAGTTTCTGTTCCTAAGGATGCATGTGCAGTTATGTGTTAGAGAATGTGCCTCTGATTCTTGAAGGGAGAAGAATCCACTTCCTTAAAAAGATTAAAAAACAAAACCCCCACACTAACCTGTTAATAATACAAAGGCCAAAAGATGCAAGGGTAAGTGGCAGCTGTCTGTCACCCTATGTTTTTTGAGTGACCCTAAAAAGAACTTTTTAACAGAGTTATTTAAGCAAAAATTTATTGCTTCAGTCTCAGAAGTGTATTTTGCACAAGCATTTCACATATCTATCCAGCAGATTGCTAAATTTTCTGCCACTGGAAGCAATGGTCTCTTTGCTCCCTTTAGCTTGTCTCTAGAATTGCCTGCCAAGGAAGGGTTAGCATCCTTAGCTAAAGGAGATGGTGGCATTACCCCTTTCACTTTAGGATGCCACTGAGAAGGAAGGGTGAACTAGCAGCTTGCAAAATCCTTCCTTGGCTACTGACTATCCCAAACTCCTTTGCTCCATCCTGTTTCCACATGGTCTTACCCATTTTCAAGGTTATGACCACTTCTCTGAACTTTGCTCCTTCTTCTGCACTCACATTTCAGTTTTCCCCTCCTCCTCCCCCAGCTCCCCTTTGTGAGCAGGCTTTCTGCCCTCAATGTCCACAGCTTGGGATCCTGCCAAGACAACTGAGACAGCAAGTCTGGAAATAGCCTATACAGCCTTGCTTTGCTAGACTGGAAACTTTTAAAAAATACTCTGGAAAGACTTATACAATGGATTGGCAGCTGATTAACAGAAAAACACACCCAGGAGCCAAAATGAATTTTGAGTACTGTAGAAGGATGCCAGCTTAAAAGCTCTGCAACACAAAGCTATCCACAGGACAGGTACAGGACAGGAACCAACTCTACCAGCTTCTGCCACCCTCTCTGAGGAAATCTGATGACTGTGATGAGAAACAGTCAATGTCCTTGGATGTGATTTTTCATTGTAGTAAGACCTGAGGGTTAAAGAGCAACAGTCTCATGAGCAATATATATGTCTCTTTAGGCTTTTTCCTTCTCTGAAGTTCATGGCAGCAGTTTAGATCTCATTAGCATTTAGAGTAGGTCAGAATCAGACCACCACTCTGATGTTTTTAATTGCTCAGCAGAACATTTTTTCATCCAAAGAAGATTAAAGTCATGTGACAAAAATTTTCAAAATCCATCTAACTTCAGGTAAGTTGTCTGTTAAATAATACTCTAGTGACATCAAAAGAAAGGACAAGTGATCCCTGGATAGCAAACATATCTCTGGCAAAAAAAAAAGTGCATCATGTTATGAAGATATTTTGCACTTGGTTATTTTAATACACACAAAGAGAGTTAAGTCCAGTGTTATTCTTAATGCATCACAAACTTTGGCTCTTTTTTGTTGTTCCTTGTGAACTCCTTTATTTTCAGCATTGAAGACAGACTATTACAGGCATTTTAATATCACCAGCAATATGTTATCAGCCCTTATTGTATTTTGTGCTCCCCTGTGTCATCTAGTGCATGTTTTGTTTACTAAATTACAGTGATTCTAAGTGTATACTTTTTTGGAATAGCAGCAGGAATAATTGCTCTGATTTATATTATTCCAGCTCTGCAGTTTTCTCTTAGTATTTTCAAGCAGAAATCCATTTGAAGAACTGAATCAAGATCTTTCTTGTTTCTGTGTAAGTTTAGAAAATACTGGTTTTTAGTGAACTGAATGTTCATAGATTTAAAAATATATTAATAGAAAACAAATTAAAATACACTGAAGTTTTGTTGCCTGCATGTATCACATCCTTGGAGCTTTTTAAGAACCTGAAGCCTCAACCAGGTATTTAAAAGAATTGAAGTTTTCAATCAGACTTTTTTCAGCAGAAAACTGGTTTCAATAAAAGCTCTTCTTGTAAAATACTGTCTAGCTTCAGCTAACTTTATTTTTAACAACTGAACTCTGAAAAGTAAAACATTCTCTTTTTCAGGCAAAAATATAAAAACATTGACCCAAAGTAAACTGGGGTAAGTTACTGCATTAGATAAAAAATATGTTGCTCCTTATTCCCTGGTCTGATTTGGGGTTGTCTTCCAAGTGATAACTAAGCCATTCTCATAACAAGGTCTTTGTATTTAATTTCTGCTTTCTACTTTGGGAAACATATCATCACTTCCAATGAAAGCTGCCTAACACTGGTCATAATAGACTTATTTCTGTGGGAAATATTCTATATTTTTCTACCCCAAAACCAAGTAGTCTATCAGATAAATGTCAAAACCTCATTGACACAGAGAGTGTAGTAAGTTATCCACAGTATATTTCAATGAAAATATTATTAGAATTTATTTTTCCTTATGTAAAAAAAAATATATGTCAGTTGTTACTTCTCATTTTTTCTTTCCTCCTTGTAGATTTAAATGTTCCAAGCTGTATGTTATTTTGCAAAATTTGCTGTGGATAATGTCTGACACTCCCATGGCCGGATGGTCAGTAAAACAACTTGTGCTTTAATTATTGGAGGCAAAGTTGTATTTTCTACATTCATAACAAAGTATAACCACTTTTAAGATCCCTTTTATGATTGTCCTCTCTCCTCTGTGAAATTACCATCACAGGATAGGTCAGGTTGGATAGGACTACAGCAGGTCTCCAGTCCAAGGTTCTGCTCAAAGCAGGATCATATTGAGGTCAAACACAGATGCTTATGGTTTTATGCAGTTGTGTCTTCAACATCTCCAAGAGTGAACTTCTTCAAGGGTTGGATCATCCTCCTGGGAAAAAAAAATTCCATCTGCTCTGAACAGCTCTTGCTTCAATTTATGCTCATGTCTTCTGTCTTCCTGCCATGCCCCAGTATGCCTCACACCATGCTCCTGCTAACCTGCTGTTAGGAGTTGGGGTCTACTCTGGTCTGCCCAAAGCCATTGCTTTCCCTCTATGGACAAGCCCAGCTTCCTCAGCCTCTCTTCACAGAACAAATACTCCAGAACCCCAACATCTTCACAACCTCACGTTGAATGGTTCAATTTCTCAATGACTGTTTTGTATAGGGGGACTCAAAATGGACATGATACTCTAGAGAACGCTGAATAGAAGGCTAATCCCTTTTCTCCGTGTACTGGTTCTGCTTCTGTTAAGATAGCCTGGGAGGCCTTTTTCTGCCAAGTCACTGCTTTTTCACACTCATCTTGCTTCCCACCAGGACCCCCAGGACTGCTTTTTGCACATCTGCTCCCCAGTCATCACTCCCCAGCCTGTTTCATTGAAAGTGACACAGGCCATTGCCTTCCCAGAGACTGGCACTTGCATTTATCTTTGTTGAACTTCTTGTATTACCTACTGGCCCTTTCCACAAATTCGTATTATTCTTCTTCTTCTTTGTCTTAGAAGATTTATTTAAAAATTTCACTCGTTGTTTGCTTGTCTATGATTCCTAAATAATCAGTACCTGTCAACACCTGACAGAAGAGACACATGGGGTTCCAGGCTAGAGCAAGCTGAGTGGTATTGACTGAAAGCACGTGGCCTCTGTAAGGCGGGCATGTGAAAATGCACTTCAGACAAAGATAAATGCCCTTTCTTTGGACCAGAGGTATAATATGTTCAGGAACTCTTATGGCCTTTAACAGATGCTTAATATGGTTGAGTTTGACCTGCCAAGAGTTGACCCAATGATATGTCTGTGACTTAAAAATGTCCATTGTGGATGTCCTCTTTGCTGTTCTTGCTTTTTTATTCAATGCCTTTTTTATTTCATGGATTCATTATGTTCTTGCAGGACTTAATGGTAATACTGGCTGCAGCTGAAAGCCATGTCTTTGACCAGTGTTGTAAATACTGACATGAGCCAGGTTTTTCTGCTTTTCTTCTTCTGCCACATCAGTAAATCACTGGATCTAATACAGGCAGTGCCTACGGGTACTAGCAGTACTTTCTCCCTGCAGAAGGCTTTCCCGTAACCAAAACTGTGCTCTCTGTGATTCTCTCTAGCAGACACAGCACTAATTTGTATAATTTCTCAGAGCATATTGACACACGTATTGAGTCAACCTTCAGCTTCCCCACAATCCAACTGAACTGTTCTGTGCAAAGGAAGTTACTGAGAATACCTGGAATTTGGTTATGGTCCTGATTACTACTATGATCTGAAGTATTAGTATATTCGTTCAAGATGTGAATATCTGAATTTAGGGTTCCTGAAACAGCTTTTCCAAGTATGACCTTTGATACTGAATTCTCCTAATCTCACCTTCTCTTTCCTAGCTGAGTCTCCATGCAGCCAAGATCCTGAGAGTCACAGTATGAGAAAGAACATTCACCCAGGGGCTCTCTAGTTCTTCTTTGGTGTCCGGGATATTCAGATGAGACAAAAGATGTAAAGGCTGCAATATCCATGCTTATGACCATTTCTGTCACTTTTTGTCCAGCGTTGATAAATAAATGTCATGCAGGTTGACTTTCCTTCTTTTAGCTGGAGTTAAAACTGTCTTTTACTTGATTCTCTGGCACTCCTCTCTCCACCGTAGTGGACTGATGATGAGATTGCTCTGGAAACTGATGGTTGAGCAGTCCCTAGAAAAGGAAAGTTAGAGCTATTCATACTGAAAGGAACTCAGAATACGGATCTGATTCTTAAGGTCTTTTTACTGCTAGGCTATTAAAAGGGAGCAAAGAAAAAGGAACACTAAGTTCTCCCAGAAAAAAATTAATTCTAGCACTTCAACACAGGAAATAGCTAGATAATGTATTGCTGCTTCAAATTTGAAGACACTTCCTTCTCTTATGGTAGAGAGCACAGCAAAATTCACTTTAGAAGTATGGATCATTCCATAAAGAATATGAATGTAAGATCTATATCCAGATATCTGTGATTTTCAGGCTTGAGTAACACAGAGAAGTAGTATTTTAAAATTCAATTTGGAGAATATGTGTTTTCCTGTCTTTAAATTACTGTTGTGCTTTTTCTCATTTTAAAGTACAGCAAAGTAAATTTTTGTAAATTTCTAGAAATAATAGAATAAGACTTTGCTTTTACTAAGACCTAATTAGATAATTGAACACAATATTAACCTTACTATGAAGCTTTATAAAAATTTTCATGTCCAAGCATCTTTCCTGTTCAGATATATGAAAGTGCATCTAAACTAATAAAGCCTGATTCAGGAAATGATGGGCTCATTTGCATCCTGGCCAGAACATCAATCAATAGCTTTCATTTTGCTTAAAGGCCAGGGGCCAAATTAGAGTTTTAAAAGTCCTTGTAAAACCTTTGGGTAATTTTGAGATTGAATCTAATGAAAGATTAATGAATACAGGCATCCATTTCTAGCCCATCTATTTACATATGACTTCTACCTTAAGCCCTGCTGAGTGGCAATCAAAGTGAATCAGTCTGTTTCTGCAGATTGTGCTGACTAGCTAAGAATAGCTCCTGCTACCATAGCAGTGTATTTTTTTCTATGCTTGTATCAAAAGTTGAGAAAGCCAGATATAGGAAAGAACAGCAGGTGCACTCTGTGTTTATCACTCCTAAAAAATTTACCAGAATTTCCTCTCTAAGTATTGGAATCATAGTAAATACTAGGTGTGGTAAATATCACCACATAACGGCTCCTACAAGCTGCAGACATGGAGAAAAATTTCCACTGGTGAATGAGAGCACAATACTCTTTGAATCATAAATTCGTATTTCCAAACAAACTGCTGAGTATATTTGCTTACATGATTCTTTTTGCAGCGGTAATCACTAGATTGACTAATCTGAAGTCTTTTATTATGTGTAATAAATACATCTAATTAATTTCACTTTTCAATATTATTCGAGCTGCAGAAAGAACACATATTTTCACTACTGCAACTTTATTTACTTTCATGAAACACTTGATTTGCTTTCTTTTTAAGGGACACAAAATATTCCTGGTGTGAAATTTTCTTACAAGAATAGCAGCTGAATTTTTTGTTTGGTCTTGTTTTCATGTGAAAATAGTTATAAATTGTCTTTTTTGTCATCCAAGTTGCATGATGTTTCTCCTACTACTTAACTAAACTTAAGCTTCATGAGAACACACCCCTAAATTTCCTCTGAATTACTTTTTTACTGCAGAAATATTACTTTGAGACACGGAAATTATGAGAACCCTTTATTTTCTATCCTATTTTCTAAAATAGTGATGTTACACATTAACATGATGCAAATATTTTTTAAAGTAACCTTTCTTACAGATGCTCCTTTTTCTTGTACCTTCAGAATTTAAACTTTCTATATAAAATCAAAAAATTTTCAGCACACGCTATTTTTTTGCCCTTTCTCCAGATAATTAGATGATTTGTATTAGCTTTGTCCTGATCTTCATCGAATATTTTGGAGTATTTGAACTATTTTCAGTCATTCCCTCTCTTTCAAGCCAGCTCCCAGTCACTCTTACCATCTGTGAATCACTACTCTGGGGACTGGGAGCTTCTGCTAGTTTTGCATTGACAAGTCCTTTTATTGTTACTTGGTGCTAGTCAGAGAAGTCACTGATATTAAATAAATGATTTTACAGAGTTCTGTTCATTCTACTGGAAATTAATAGACTTAGGGATTAAATGTAAAAAGAATAAAAATTCCTCCCAGGTTTCTTCTTGAACGTGATTAAAGATCTTGAAAAAATCAATAGAAAGCTTTACTCATGCTGTATATACAGAAATTAAAAGGAATTTTCTGTTGCATTTGCGTAGAAAAGGAAGAAGATTGAACTTGATTTAACCTTTATTCTAATTGAAGATTGGGCAATAAAAAACCTTTTTTTTTCCTTTGCTGTGAATGTTAATAGCTTGATTTTTCTAGAAAATTTACTTCTAGAAAATTTAAGACATTTTACACCAGGCTCACGCAAATGTACACTTTTATTGAGAGATAATATACAGATGGAGGAAAGCTACAACAGCAATGTACCAGTCCGAAAAATACCAAAGATTAATAAAAAAGCAGAACCACATTCAAATTCCTGATCCAACTGGAATTTTAGAGTTAAGAACATGAGAGAAGTAACTGCCACAAAAGTAGTCTGCATTAAGAATTACCACAATTACCCCTGGCTCAAGGAGTGGCAATTCTTCAGTTTCCCTCTCAAGGCTGCACACAGGGGTCATGTTCCTAGGCAAGGGAGGACCTCACCATGCCGAGAGGAAGCTGGGTGTGGTAGGGTGGGATTGCACACAGGAACCCATACCTGGTGACTGAAGAGGTGAAGCAGCCATCCGCAGATTTTTAGGGAGATAATCAGGAGACAGAACCAGAACAGGTCACTGGGAGCTGCAGCAATGAGATGCATCATTCTGTGACTATCCTCAAGGGCCCAAAAACCTATGGATTGATTCTGGCACTACAAAATTCTGTGCAGTACTGACATGTGCAGCAAACATCGAAGTCCCATTGGTTTCCATGGAAAAGCACCTCAGGATTTTTCCTTTGTGAAGAAACTGAATTAAACATATATGAAAGAATACAAATAAAACACAACATCTTTTGATAAAAATGGAGAAACACTCACTACAATCTTCCTTCTGATAGCTCATTGCAGCTACTCTTATTTTCTGAGGGTAGATGTAGTTTCTCAATGTGATTATGTAAACTTCATAGAGCACTTTGTCATGTCATGTAGATATTTATATCAATAAATTACGTACTTGAATTGTCTGAGGGAGCCACAAGGTCTAAAAAAGCATATTGTATGAGGAAGTTTTGAAATCTGTGTGATCTTGATGTCCAAATTATGTTTGCTAAACCACTAACCTTTTTTACTCCAAAGAGAACTCAAAGAGACAGATGCTTAATTTGTGAAATAAAAAACACAAAAATGCTGCCCTCAAAAATACACAAGTCCCCCACATGTATAAATGAAGAGTGCCCAAAATATTGTTCACGAGAAAATTGCTTCCCTGTGATCACAATTGTTTTCTCTGTGTAAGCAAATAAAAGAATTGTGTGCTCAATATCTCAAGCTCTTACTTAAGACCTTGTCCTCTAGCAGAGATGACACAACACAAACAAAAAAAGGCAGACATTTGGCAAGATGATGTGCTGGAGCTTTGTCTGCTGTTTCCAACTACATTAGATTACCTAAAAAAGATATCATCCCTCCACTGTCTTCTTGCAGTTCTCACTGCCTTTTGAAGCTCTGACACCTCTCTGCGAGGATTACCTCCCTCATATATGGAACCTGTTCACTTTATCCAGGAAATGAAATCTGGTAAATAAATACACAGACTTTTAGTGACTTTTAGAGAACTTTTGCAATTAATTTTGAATAAGAGCACAAATATATTAAATTCAAATTGTCTTGAAAAGTAAGCCACAAACTCAAGGAAAAGCTTTTCATGTCCTTTTACCCTTTTCTTTCCAATATTACCATTTACCTCCAGATAAGACATTTTTCACCTAAGTGATTCCAATAACTGAAATAAATAAGGTTTATGAAGATGATATTCTGTCAACCATGTAAATGAATTTATCCAAACTCAGAGCTCTACAATGTAAGTATAAATAGCTGACCTTGCTCTCCACAGACTTTTTTTTAATCTGTGGAGGAAAAAATATTCTTCTTGCATGTTATTCATCTCATGTCAAAGTAGGCAACCAAAATAAATCAAATTAATTGGACTCTAAATTGTCATTTTTATCAATGATATAAAGGGATGTTAGGGAGACTATCTCAGATGCAGAAAGCTACAAAGTAGATATTTAAAGTTAGGTGAAATGAATCTCATCTCATCAGAAAATGAATCCTATAAAAAGTGTCTGTTTAAGAGCTAGTCTTTAGAAAAGGTTGTGACACCCAATATTTTACTATCTGATTTCATTTGATGAACCAATTATAACTTTACAGACTTCTGCAGTTCCTCTTTCAATTGTCAGTTCTAAAAAGCTTTTGTATTATAATTTATTTGCTAATCCATTAAAAATTATTGCACTTTGATCCCTGTCCACTTCTCCCTTCCTCCTCTGTAACTGAAGAGCTTCTGTTCTTCATTTCTTTTGGTCCTGCTGATTATATTAGCTTTAATCTTACAGAATTCTGAGGTTGCTACATCGACATATGTGAAAAGTCATAAAAATTTAAGGTGTCAAGGAAGGAAAAAACCTTTCCTTCTGGATTTCTTAACCATTTAAAAAATGCTGCTAACTTTACAATTTTTAGTTTAAAAACAGAAGATGCTTTTTAAAAAGCTATTAAATTATATTCCCTATTGCAGGAAAAATCCCAGCAGAGGACTTTTCACTAAAATATCATGGCTACAACCTATTGTCCTGGTTTCAGCCCAAATCAGTGGGATGGGGCACGGCCAAATTCACAATGCTACTCAATACCACTTTATATCTTTGCTGGGGTGGGGAAAGAAGGACTCTCCCTTCTGGTGGGAGAAATAGCGGCATGGTGGGGGAGAGTTGGTCAGTATCTGTCTCCGTTTTCCATGTAAATCTTTTCTTTGTCTTATACCTTTTGTTATTAATATTGTTGCAATTACAGTTCGTTTTCTTATCTCATTTCTGTTCCCAGTAAATTGTTCTTATCTCAACCCGTGATTTGCAGCTTTTGTGCCTCCAATTCTCAGCTCCATCCTCAGAGCAGGAGGGGGGAGGGCAGGTGGGGGAAAGGAGCTGGTGAGCAGCATCTGGTTTGGGAGAATCTCAGTGGGGACCCTGAATTGGGAAGTACTAATCCGAAACCATGGCAACGGTACACTCAGCAATATGAATGTCATTTCATTTCATCCGACTGAAAGATACATTCTTACAAATGAGTTAGTTAAAATGAATTGTGGCTCTAACTTAAGGTGATTCTATTCCTCTCAGCTCTGTTTCTGTGTTGACAGAATAGTTGCTACTGGAGCTGTAATATCCCTGCAAAAGGCTTAGCAAAACCTTCTTTCACCCATTGAACAGCCATGCTTGACCCAGAGCAGTTCTCTCTAGCTCTGGCAATTATACATGGAAATAAATGTGTGTCTGGAGTGGACAGTGATGGACAGGGTCTTTTAAAGACAGTTTTCATACTGAAGACAAAATGTTTGATGGTGTTATGCTATTGCCCAGGGTTTCCCTGCAGTCAGTAAATGGAAATGTCCTCAGATGATAAATAATTTCAACTATTTTTGGCACTCATAGTAGCATAAGATGAGAAGGGGCATAATCCAAAGATAGCTGTCTTTATTACTTAGGAAGGAGTCTAGACAACCCTGCTACATGTTGTAGTTTTGAAAAGCTGAATTTGAGAGAGATAATCTTATTATAAATATTTTAGGATTAATTTGGGTATGCAGATTAAAACACCCTTGTGAACATATAAAAAAAGTAAATGTACAATAAGTGTTCATCTGGTTGAGAAAGGAATTTAGCAGTGCCTGGTGAGTCATACACATACTGCCAGAAACTAGCATAGGAATTATGTATTTATGTATTTTTCTTAGAAAAATGAAAATAGGTAACTGTGCTAAGAATTAGTAGATGACCATTGAAGCCTTTTGGAAGACAGTTGGTGTTTTCAACTCTTTAATTGAACAATAAATTAACCTTGTGGGACCTATATCAAGACCAGGGCTGGACTTTTCAGCTTTTTCAGAGGAAAATGCAACACCTGCATAGGGAGGTAGTCTGTGAGACAAACTGACTGACAAAGCTGACTCACAGTCAGCTTTGCAGGCTTCTAGCCTGGGTACCAGGGCAGGAGAAGCTGTGCCCTGCTCCCAGCAATGCATGCAAAGATTAATATTCTGAACTTCGCTGAAAGAACCTGTCATGGTCAGGGGCTCTTACTGGTCAACCAAGTACATCTCTACATGTCAATGTCCCCTGTGATGCTTTCAGCTCTTCATTTATTGTCCCTCCAAATGTGTTACTGTAGATTTCCAAATATTTTGCATGTGTTTATCATAATAACTAAAAACAGCTACCCTGGACTCCCTAGAGGAGGCCAATGTTATAACTGCTTTACTTAGGCACATAACTTTCACAGCAAAGGGTAAACACTGTACATTTCTAAGGGTTCTGGATTTGCTGACCCAGCATGAACTTCTGGAATCTGCAAGATTCTGTTGCAGACAGCCAGAACTGCAGCTGGAAATATCTTTGTAACATCAGCTTCACGGCTTTAGCTTTCTCAAAACCATGTCCCCACTGATTTCATGAAATGGTAATTCCTGGTATGGCTTATGATAACTGAGTTCCAGTTTCCCTCCCAAATATTTCATCTTTTGTGGGCAATATTCTCAAGGAGAGTTTTCCTACTGCATCTTTGGAGATAGAAAATTGGACTGGTTTAATGTGTATTAGCATCACTGCATTACTCCTTTGAAGTTATCCTTAGTTATTTTAGAGACTGAACTCTCTCACCAAGTGAGCACTTAAAACTAGATCTTCCACCTGATGGAAACAGAAATATATTTTTTTTGTTTTGCTGCCTCAAAAATGTCAAACTTCTACAACCAACATGTATCCATAAACAGTGACTGACTAAATATAGAGTCTGGGAACATTTGAGATATTTCTGTGTTTGTCACAGAGTCCATGGGACCAAAGCCAATTGTTGTCTGCATGGATATACATCACAGTGACTTTAGGTGACTTCAGTAGGAGTTCAGACTAGAAACCTCACCTCTGATGGGAGTTCAGAACCTGCAGAACCAGCCTGGAAACTCTTTGAATATCAGCAAAATCAGAGCCCAAGGCTTTCATAAAAATCTTACACTTTTTAGTGAAAAAGTTTTAGAAGAATGAAATCAACACCTGAAGGCAATTTCCCTCCAACTTTGAGACCACATGTTTCCTGTTTAGTTTGAGGCACCCATGGATATTTCCATGGTGAGTGGCACGCTTGTCTCCAGCAGCCTGGATATGAGGCAGCTCACTCTGATCTCCTGCAGTTTTTAGCAGATACTAAAGGTAAGTCATCGCCTATTTGGGATTCTCAGAAGGCTGATTGAGCAGAGTGTCAGGGAGAAACCAAAGGTAGCTAAGTCAGGCCTTGATTGCATAAATAAAGTAAGAGTTTTTTTGCCATTAGAGAAGATGTTTAACATTCCATAAATTTTTTAAAGATGCAGTTTTGCAAAGCCCATTAATGCCCCACAAACAAAATTTTCCATATTTTTTATTTTCATTACAATTATTTGCTCCTTACCTATGAAAGTCAGTACAGTTGAAAGGAAAAAACACACCATGAAATAGTTTTATTTTCCAGAGCTGATGATGGTCCTATTACATTTACCCTGTGGTAGTTTCACATTTAGTTAACTATATTTCAGTCAACACAGATATTTATTGCCCCTGACCTCAGATTTGGCTTGCTCAATAGCTTGTCTTACAGAGAATTTAAAGATCTCACAAAAAGTAGATCTCTGATTATTATTTACATGTGCACAACTCATAGAAATCTGCATTCATTAATGTGATAAGTTCTTTCTTATACCATAGAATATATTTGTAACAGAGTAATTTTTTACTAATTCAAGTGTTTACCCAT